CAACCATACTAAACAAAACAAAACAAAATATATCAAAATAATGAAAGCTATTGCTATTACTCCTTCTTTTCTAATCTTTAAGGTATATTATTTTACATGAAATTTGATAAAAATGTATGTTGGCAACAAATTCATACTTCTACTATTGTAAACATTGCCAATCTTTTCCATATCTATATATTGATCTTTTGGGAAGAGAGTCACCTCATTTTTCAAATTTTCTTCAAGTGTGCGGTAGTGACGATCAATGAAGAGGGGATATTGGCTTCCTTGTTTGTCTTCCAATCTGGTCTATTCAATTCAGAGTGCTATCTATCAATATTTGCTTGTTACAGTGATACTATTAAGTGCAAGTAGCAATGGATCCGAATGGAATATCAAATGTCGCTTTCCTGACAACAAGGACGCTGTGTTTTGGACTGGCCAAAACATTTCGGGCTTTGTTGACTTTGTAAATACTGATCATGAAGACTTGAAATTAGAACGTATCAATGCAGAATTGATTGGCGAGTTTGTTCACAGAACTCCGAAGAAGTTAAATCAGACTCAATCGAAAAATCTCACTCAGGTGAGATTGTTAAGTGAGCGAATAGTAGTACATCCGATCGGTACACATGGCAAGTTTCCTGTACCGTATGGTAGCAACAGTTGGCCGTTTCATTTCCATTTAAATGATACCTTACCACCATCGTTCGATAGAAACGATTCCAAAATGCCAACGATTAATTATTTTATAATCATTACATTTGTTCGAGTTGAATTTTACAAATCAAATATAGAAAAAAAATGTCGTATTATTGTTAAACATACATCGTTACCTGTAAATGCGACAAAAATCCAAAAAGAAGACAATGCACGAAGTGTTCATTTGCGTGTAGCTCTCGAAGAAAATGCTGTTGCTGCTGGAAACAATTTGTCATTTAACGTCAGTTTATTGAATCCACGTCTAGAGAAAATAAAACGAATATCGATGTTACTCAGTCAACATCTAGAAATGGGTTCCAGCGAAAAACATGTAGTCAAACTTGTTGTTCAAGATCTGAAAAACACCAAGGACTTTAAAGGTGGACAATTGAATGAAACATTTCAACTGCAAGTGCCACACACTGCCCTACCTACGCTTTGGTTTCGTCTTCCTGCGAGTTCTACTAAAAAGTCGCTCAGCGTACACTACAAACTAAACTTTGAAGTACATCGTAGGGGCCTCTTCTCTTCCAATGTTAGGCTATCATTGCCAGTGATTATCACCAGTCCGAAATCGAAAACAACTCACCAAACATAAGCGCCATCGAACTATCAATGTGCCGTTTTCATAAAAGTATTTTGAAAAGTAGATGAACACTAATTGAAAGCTAATTGAATCCACGTGTAGTTTTATTGATTTCAAACCTATAAGCAGATTCTTGGTTTTTCGTAGAAAGTGTTGGTAATAAATGATTTCTAGATTTGTGTACGATATTGTTTCTCATGGCGAATTTTTTTTAATGATGTATGCGCATCCGAGCATATGTCATAACTAATAGTGTTTATCGTAGAGTAGGATAAATATTTTTTACCATCATATTTAGATCCATTTTTGGTATGAAATAATATTGGCGGTGAAGACTTTAAAATTCATCAATGAGTCAATCTTAAAAAACCTAGACAACTATTCTTTCTCAAGAAGATAACAACAGAAACTTGTGGACAAGAACTTTCTTTCAGCCAATCATGAAAACTGTATGTAAACATCCGAAGAAAGTGATGCTTTATGGATGTCAACCGTAGTGCTCCGATCGTGAGAAAAATGCGACTACAGAAACTTGGCGTATAAAACCCATCATTTTTTGGAGTTAAGACATTCCAGAGAGTGATATATTTTGTTTTCTTAGTCGGAATTCAGACACTCCCATTCGATGTAGTTTCTTTTGGTTTCACATCTCACCATCACAACCTAAGCCATTGCATAAAGTATTGCGCTATATACTTTCATGAGTTCTTTGCAAACTTTCTATATCAGTCATCATTGATGAGCGAACATCTCGAAGCGATAAAACAGTTTCAAAGTGGATCTATTTCCATGATGTGTATTATAGAAAGTTGACATACCTTCACAATCTAAAAATTTAAAATTTAACTAACTCAAGAGCTTTCAATATCTTACATATTAGCTTCTTATAACCGCTATCGTTTAAAGAAATTGAAAGAAACCAAGGAAAGTTTAGGAATCCAATAAATTCGAAATATGAAGATATCTTGAGCATGTGGATTTGAATATTATCGTAACCAATAATCATACCCAGACCCTTAATGATTCTTCTTGACTTTCAGTGACCTTATATAATGGTTGTTAGCTAGTAATGATGCTTTAAATTTCCATTAGTATTTCATTTGAAGAAATTTTTTACAAAACACAATCGGTAATAAGAGTGGATGTGTTGGTCAAAAACACCTGTATCCACCATTATCGAAAATTTATTCTTCTCCTCCTTTGTTTTCCTGTATCAGCTTTATGATGCTCTAAAATGCAAACCAAAAAGAGAAACGGTGAGAGTCAAATCAAATGTTTCGTCTTTGACAAATTTATGGCTCTTCACACAAAGAAATATCAGCATTCTTACAGAATTTCTTTCAGAATGTTTTCACAAGTCATGAAATCTAGTCATTTTGTTTAATCTTAGATTTTTCAACTTATAGTTTTGCTTCAACTTCATAGCAGCTGTCTCAAATACTCTAAATGTTGAGAATATTTTTAACTTATGTACGCTCGCTTAAAGAAGACTGCATATCAGTCTATCGATGAGTTCATTGGCATCAAAATCCTGCAACACGACATCTAACGATAAAAGATAAGTGAATGTGCATTTAAAAAAAAATGTTTTTCGATATGAAGGTATCAGAATTCATTAAAAAAATACCATACCACAGTTGACGTGGATATCATGATCAAACAAACCTATACAGCTATATCCAATAACAGCAATGCGACATTTTTTCTGTCATCGTCAATACATGCCTCCTTTCCTTACCATTATTTTATTTATTGCTCACATTTCGCATGAGAAGTAATGGATACTCATACAAAACAAGACCAACAAGTATCCAAATTATTTTGCTCGATTTTTAGTACTATTTTCTCAAATCTCAGTGTGACGAAAGTGAAAGAAAAATGCACTAAACATCTGGAGTTTTTCTCTTTTACTCTATGTCTGTAAACTTTGATTGTTGCAAGTCTTTATTTCTGCTATGAACTTGTTGGCTTTCTTTGTCGCCCATGAGCAAATCTTTCACAAACAGGCCCACTAAGTACAGGTACAAAGATATTTCAAACCATATATTTTGCGACAATTTCAGTTAATATGTATGGATTTTGCAGACTATATTTTACTGACACGTGTTTGCACACTTCAAGAGCACCTTTGCTTTAAAATAACGGAATATGTCGCAAAATCTACAAATATAAATATGATAAGTTTGTCAGTGACGTTCCTAAAAGAAAGAATTGTAAGACTCAAGTACAGTCACTCTTAAGATCAAGGTAGATTTTTGCGAATACAAAAGTCTCGGTAAAACTACAGTATAAAATCGGTTCGAATAATATTGCGCCAGTTACTGCTATCTCTTTATTTTAGCAATCACTGAATAGGGGTGGTTGCTTACTATTAATCATATAGCTGACTGTTCTAAAGATAGTGCCAAAATCATCTTTACTTTAGATAATGGTATCTACTGGAACTTAAGTACATAACTCTCACAAGTACTTTTCAAAATGAAATTTATATGTATTGTGCAGATTATTGCTTCATTAATTTGTCATTCAACATGTTGGCACACTTTTTCAGATAGCATTTTTGAATCTTTAAAAGTTAACTACAATTTTTTATGATGTCAGCTAAGGATGAAGATTTATCACGCCTAATTGAAGACGCAAAAGTAAAATTTAACCAGTATGCTGGAACTCAAAAAGACTTTCAATCTCCACAAGCATACATCCATATTGAAACAGAGTCGGATGAAACTACAAAAGTACATATGGACGTTCAATATAATGGAACACAATATTACTTTGAATCAATACAAGAAAAAGATATAAACGACATTTATCATTACTTAAACAGTCAACCTACGGTAAGAGCAAAATTTGGTAATGGGAATACAGTTTCTCTTGAGGCAACGACTGCAAGAGTGAATACACTAGTCAACAGATTTCAAAACAAAAAATCGTCTGTATATCTCTATAGCGGATTCGTAGCTTCTGATTCTTAAACGAAAACCTTTTTGGGTGTTGTCAATTTAGGAAAGGGAACGGAATCTGGTACTGCAGAAATGGCTCGTTTAAACAGACTAGAATGCTGGAGTCGTTCACCAGATACAGTTTCAATTTATGCAGTTACAGATGCTAATATTATTAATAAAAAAAATATATTCTGGCATTGGTACAGCAGAAACATGTACGTTATTGCAATATGTTGCTCGATTAAAACAGGAAGGCTATGAGGTGAATGGTCATCCACTTAAAGCAGTAGTCGCTACGGCAAGAATGGACAATGAAGGTCCCTGGAAATCTAATACCAAAGCTGGAATGACGTTGTATGCTGTCCATGTTTCTTCTAATTATGTATCAAATTTACGCTATGAATTACGAAAAAATATGTAATTTATCAAATAGTTTTATAGAATAAAATAGGAGAGGGTGAGTGTGGATGCGTGGAAGAGAGATGCGTGGGTGTGGGTCAGAAGGGTACATAATAACATCTATACATGTACCTATACTCGCACTCTTTTTTTCCTTTGACATTACAAAAAAACTTGTTCAAGGTTTAAAAGATGAAGAATTTTTCGGACTATATAACTGTATGGTGATGCATCATATGCTCACTCGTCATTGTTTTTCAAAATGTAGAGCAGGAAAAATGTACTGACAGTTGGAATGGTGTTATCTTTGTTTGGAGACGTTCTCGAAGTCTTAATTTTCAAAAATAATTATTGTTGTATTGTGGGTGGGGTAAGAAGCAGGCCTACACCTACATCTTCTTAGTATGTCATAACCTTTCTTCTGTTAAAGAATAGTTGGTAAATTTTGTATGATTAGGAATAATTCTAAATGTTCTGAGGGAAGTCTTCTATTAGATTACTTTTTGTTAACCGATAGCAATAAAAAAAATCTGTCTTTTTCAGAAGATCAGAACAGTTTAGATGATATGAATGAATTTTTCAGAAGTAGAAAGGCTCAAAAAATGGATTTGTTTCAATATCTATTAATTTTCAAATAAAGATTCTATAAATCAATACAGTACTTTCTCGATTAGATATGCTGAATAAAAAGAAAATTTGGTAACCAGTTAAGTAGTTAAAGGAGAGTCTTTTATTATAGAGGGAACTTCAGTTACAAAGGAAGAAGTTCAGATAATAGTTATTTGCAATAAGACGATTGTTATCATGAAATTTAATACTTTAAAATAACGTCTAATAGAATTTGAAATCCTTCTTTTGTTTTGGTTTTAGAATTTTTCTCAAAGTACCACAGTCTGTTCGTTGATTTTCAAAACTTTTGCTTTTACTCTAGTATAAATTTTGAATAATCCAAATCATGTTGAGCTCATTTCTGACTCATTACCATGTACGCGTTGCATTATAGACTCTAGTGATGATGCTTATATTAATGCA